TCTCCGACCAAACACCAGGCGGACCCCTGCCGGTCTCATTCTAACACATCACGATCCACACACCAACCATCTTGGCACATGGAAGCGGCCCGCACAGTCGGGACTGCGACGGGTTCGATCAAGGACTCAAGGCGACGCCTCACCCGGCGCCAGCGCGACCAAGCAGCCTTCGAGGCACCGCGCGCGAATGGTGTCCACGAGCTAGCGAGGCTTAACATCGTCGACGCGGGCGTTAGAGTGAACTCTCTAGATCCATCACGCCCCGATAGCCCCACAATCGCGCATGCGACTGGCTGGGCTAGCGGAAACCTACTTATCCACCAGCTAATAAGCACTAGTAACGGGCGTCAAGGAACGCTTCCACCGCCAGGGAGAGCACCCGATTCTCCGTGGCCGGAGGAATCCAGTGGACAGGCTCGTAAGACAGCACGTAGTGTACTGGCTGCCATGAGCTATGGAGTAGGATCACAGCCCGGACGATGAAGCAAGTAGATACTGCCCTTCTGTGAGGGGCTGGACGTCGAGCGCCTCGCTGGAATGAGGCCTTAAATGACTTCTTCATGGATAAGGCGAGACGAAGGATGGGAGGCCTGCGTACCCCTTTTTAGCGAAGAAGGAAATGATACCCTGACCGATGAGCTCGGGCCTCTTGGTGAACTAGCTGCTGACGCGCATCCTCAGCCCAGTGGGACAGCCGGGTATAAGCCGTATCACCTTTTGGGAGCACGGTTGAGGACTACCTAAAAGGCGCCGACTATCCTTCGCCCCTCTGACAATGCCGTTTCTCAGCTTACCGATCATTCATCAGACTTAGTCTAGCTGGAGAGCTAGTATCGGGACGAGATGGAGACCATTCCCATCCCTCTCACTGATCTCATCGCCCCTATTCCTAACATCAGAACGCGCACGTTCTTCATTGTGAACGACCGTCTGGACATCGATGCTCTTCGGAACGCGCTGACAGATCTGATCCGGAACCACTGGCGCAAACTAGGGGCGCGCGTGGTCCGAGGGACCAAAAACGGACAGTGGGAGTATCATCTTCCCAAGACATTCGACGACGAATACGTGCTTTTCAACTGGACCTCGGAAGACAGCGAGGCCTCCATTGGCACTGTCACTGAATCGCTCAAACGTCCCTCCCCGGACAGCGGCATCGCTTTTCTCCAGCCCATCAACGACGTCGACAGCTGCTTCAGGCCCGCCGACTGGCCCTTTGAGCAAAAGGATGACCCTGCTGACGCCCCGATCCTCTACGTCCACATCCGCACATTTACCGACGCGACTGTCATCGCCATCAGCATGCTGCATGTCTTCGGCGACCAGCTCGGTCTCGCCAACATTGTGAAAGCATGGATGGGTATTCTCGACGGGAAAACACCTCCTCCGTTCGTAGGATACGACGAAGAGGTGCTTCCACATGATAAGGCATTTGCGGATTTCCCGAAGCAGGATACGTACCGTAAGGGGAGGATACGGGTGAGGCGGTTTGGCGAGTACGCGTTGGTGCTACTCGGTTTTATCCTGGAGCTGATCTTACATGGCGAGGAGAGTCACATCATCTTCTTCCCGCTTAAGATGGTCGAGTCGCTGCGGGAGCGGACGTCGAAAGAGCTGGAGCAAAAGCACGGGGCGGACCCGGGACTTTCGCACGCGGACATTCTGACTGGTATCTTGACAAAGGTTTGTTGCCATGGCCATGGACATGTGGCAACAGCGCTGACTAGTATGGGCTTCAGTTTGCGCACATGTACAAGACATCACCTGTCACAATTTCACTCTCGCAAACCGTCAATCGTAAGTCTCCACCAAGCATCTTTACCGTCAGAATGTCTCTGACGCGCAGTCTGGCAGTGCGTGGCCGTGTCCCCCAGCTCTTGTCCCCCGCGCGTGACGGCTATATCCATAACGCCCTGATCTATGCGACATCTCGTTACCGTCACTCGCGCTCCACGTCGGTCGGCGAGATTGCGTACCTGAACCGTCAAGCTGTCAACGAAGCCTTGACGACCAAGGGCAGTGACATCGGGTTGGCCGTGATGCGGGAAAAGGTCAAGCGCGGCCAATCTTTGCACATTTGTGAACCATTCGAGAAGTCGTACGGCGTTACCAACTGGTGCGGAGCCTGGAAGGGTGTCGATTTCACCAATGCGGTGAAGACGGGAGAAAAGCAGGGCGGCAAGACCCGCCCGTTGGACATGCTTGTCCTGGGCTTCGGCGGAGAGCGAAAGACGCCGAAAAGATGTGAGTGGCCTTTCTCGAGCTTAACCAGGCTTCAGAGAAAATACTAACACCATGTTCACAGTCCATTCCACTGTCATGTGCAAGACGAGTGATGGTTATTGGGTCGATTTCACTACATCCCGGAAGGGCATGAAGGCGATCAAGGACTATATCGCTTCGGACCCGGCCCTGGAACGGTATTGATCTTTTCATGCCTATTGCTCATGCCTATTGTCATGCCTGTTGCCATACCTGTTGCACATACCCATACTTATGCCTGTTGCCCATGCTTGCTGCCCATGCCTGTTGCTGAAGTGAAAGCCGTCTCACAGGAAGAGACAGTTTTGCTCTCTGCCTATTCAAACCTGACCTGAGTAAAGAGAAGATCACAAATTTCTTTGGTTGTTGCTTCCTCGGTAGAATGATGCGGCGAGACGGGATCGTCTGGTTAATATCCGACGATCCAGTTCCGACAGAGATAACGTCCTCTACGCGCATTCTACCAGGGAGACGCGATTCTTCGCCCTGATCAGGCCGCTCCTCACTGCTGGTCGACTGGGCCAGAGATAATCCTGTATTGGTTCGACCAGTCGAAGCAACGGGCTTCGGCAGCTCCTTGTCCTTGCCCTTGTCCTCGCGCCTCTGTTGCTCTATGGCTTGGGACGACTCGGTGGTCTTCGACGTCGACATGTCGCGGGTAATGTTGTCGCGGGCAGTGTAGTCGCGGGTAGCGTTGCTGGAGCTTGACTCGGCGCGAGGCGGCTCGCCCATGGCAGCGCTCTGGCGCGCCTTCCTCTCAGCCATCTGTTTCTTGACTTCCTCGGCCCCAGTTGAAAGCCAGGCTATGATGCGCAGAGCCTCATCGGACAACGGGACAAATTGATCGTCACCTGGGTCTTCAGGCCTGAAGTCGCTAACCCGGAGGTAGTACAGCATGTACACAAATCCAGGCTCACCGACATTCCACTCATCGTCCATGTAGTGAGCGCTCACCGTCTTGTCCTCACACTTGGTTGTGATGCGATCACCCCACGGCTTATATAGACGAACGAGTTCAGTCTCCTTGCCATTGTCGTCGATACGCACCGCTGCCAGAAGGTAGTACGCGCGCTTGTGATGGATACACATGACGAAGCGCTGCAGCTGGATAAAGTCCAACTTACGCTGGCCAGGGACGTGGCGTACTCGCATGATCAGCGGGCATGCAAATAGCGGAGCGAAATGACGAGTCTCGCTTTTCTCAAAGAGGGCCAGGCGCCTGCTTGCAACCTCTTCCAGGCTCGTGCCCTCCTTCTCCTTGGTCATGTCGTAATCGACCAGGCCCCAACTGGTCAAGTCACGATCAGTGACGTTGACGGGACCCCATTCCGACCACTTGTCGCCGTTCTTCGTGCGCAAAAGGAATTTGCTGATCAGATTCATTGAAGAAGACGCCCACAGCGTGTTCATCAGGAGCTCGCACTCGGCCAACTTGATGTATGGCGAAGGGGTCTCACCCTCGTAGCCCGACTCAAGGAGGGCTCTGGTGGCCTCTCGCTGCTGCTGCTCATAGTCTCGGTCGAGCATGAGCTTGTCGTCGAGGGAGACTTTGAGGAAAGCAATGTTGTGGGACAACCATTCCTCGCGCTCGTTGGGTTTAAGGAGGCTGAAGATGGCGCGCAGCACAACAGTGAGACTGCAAGCCTCGGCAGTGCCTCTGGGAGGGCAGATGGATCGGTAGGTCTCTTGATTCATCGTGGCTGTTGTGATGGTGTTGAAGAGGTGGGAAGGGGAGCAGAGGAATTTGTGGGTGTTCAGGGGTAAGGCAACTACGCAAGGCTGGCGTGAGGCAGGCGCACGGCAGCACGTGATTTTGTATCGCACGTCAACACGACGATAGGACATTGTGGGACAACGGGGGGATTGTGGGATTTTTGAACCTGAGAGCATGTCACTTGGAGAATGCAAGTTGGCACTGGGATTTGCGAGCCACCAGCTCCAGGCTCACGAGACGCATATCGTAGTTGATGACTTGTAACGCTGATAGCACTCGACGACGTCGAGTATGGTATCTCGTGGACTGCGGGCACCTGGCTTGGACAGCCCCACGTGATGAATTCGCAGGCAGCAGTCCTGGCATAGCTGTGAAATTTTGCAACCATTGCTTTTTGATCCCTCTTCCTTCCTTTAACCCGCTCCCGAAACTCAAAGGTCAGCCATCGCCGTCTCCACGATATATCCAGAACCAGAGCCAACAGTTCATTAGCAGCATCACATTCCACAAACAACAAACACCTGGTACTTCATCCCGTTCCCTCATCCAATGCCTTTGCTGACCTTTGAAGCTTCATTGTTGAGGCGTTGCTTCCAGCATCACGTGCATACGCCCGCCGACGTCGAGCGTCTCAACGATCTCGTCTCGGGCATGAACGCAGCTGCGCTGCAGACACTCGAGGGCGAGTTGCTTGGCAAGATCCGTCTCGCCACCAGGAACGAGACGCGGCAGCTCATCAGCGATGAGTGGAAGCGCGAGTTGGCCGTTCTCACCGATGTGGAAAACGCCGACAAGACGCACGAGACGTGCCACGATGAATGGCTGAAAAAGCAGCTACACATCAGCACCAACGAGACTTGGTAAAGGCATGCGAGTGCTTTGATACGGGCTGCGGACGTAGGGCAAGAATATGAATATATTTGTTCCTGCGCTACCCATTACTCTCTGCATCATATGTGGACTCCGTGACTTGTGCTGTCGTATAGACCTATGAAAACTATGGACTATGTCGTCGATTGGAGATGACGAGAAGGCACTGAGCGAGGGAGCCGACTCAAGGAGAGCCAACGGACAACGAGACATGATTGCTTGACTTGACGCGCGACTGCGCCGACTATTTATGGGCAAAGCTAGCAGAGAATGTCTGCGGGTCGCCGGGACCGCAGACGTGAGTAAAGAGGAGTATTATGCGTTCCCTTATTCTCACTGACACCAAGGTTCTCGGGGAATAGGCATGGGATCGGTGGACCGGTTTGGTTGGGTATAGAGTCCCGTCGAAGAAAGGGGTCAGTAACGGGGAGCTCCAGGTGTGGTGGAGAAGGACTCAGCCAGGGCTTGGGTAGCCAGGGTTTGCTAGGAAACGCGCCGATTGTTCGTTTGCTCCAGTGCTCTTAGTCGGCGTGCTCTGAGAGTCGTAATCGACATCAAGCAGGAGGGTTGGTGATGACGAGTCGGCTGCGGACGATAGCAGAGGAGGCTGAGAGGCAATGTAATAGTAGCCTTGAGATGATGGTAGACGAGAAGAACTTGCCTTGTCACAAGTAAAATCAGCGATGCATATCTCGAGAGGAAGGGGCGCGAAAACGGCTGCCTATAGAAACGTAGGTGCAGTACAAGGAAGGAGCCAAGCCTTTATTCTCAGAAAAAATACCACCAGCATCATCATCACTAAACACCAAAAAAAGCCCAATTCCATCAAGACATCAGATTTTCCACCAAGATATCAGATAAGATGGTTCGATCCCCTCCAACGGAGCATAGCCAGCCAGGCGCGGGCCCCGGACGAAGGAGTCGAAGTGGAGCTACCGGCTGGGGGACGAAGCCGAGGACGAGGACGAGATGATGGAGAGGGCCAGGAGGGAAGCTCCTCCCAATATCACAATTGGAGAGCTTCACTCGCTACTGGAGGCCACCTTTGGTAGTCAGTGGACGCAAGATGAAGAAGACGAGCTCGATAGAGCTATGAACGATGACCCGGTCGTCGCCGCGTTACTGGATCTCAGTACCGGCAGACACGGGGGTCTTTGGAAGGCGACGCTGTATTCCGTGCGAGAGACACCTGATCGCCGGATGTCGGCGCCCCTGCGAGTTAGCACTCGTCAGCACAAGGCGCTGCCTCAACACGGCAACATGCGTAATCCGAACATGAACCAGATGTACTGCACCCATCTGATCCTTCTTGTCAGCCATCCCATTTGGGAGAGGGACATTCAAGCTCTACGACAGACTATCGCGTTTGCCGTCGCCTGCCAGACCAAAGACCAACGACCTTGGAACTTTGAGAACATGGTGGGAGGCTCGGTCCTCGCAGAGTTTGGACGACAGGCCCCGGCCTCGGATGGTTCTCGAACGATTGCTTCGCTGTTTCGTCAGGTCAGCAATGCGGCCGTGGGAGAGAAACCGCCGCTAGTCCTGCTCATGGACGAGTTGGCGGGTGACGGGGACGACGACGTCGAAGAAGGGGACTTTGATGATGAAGCCGAGGTAGAGTACGAGGTGCAGCTCCGCCACTCGGCGAGCGTCATCAAGGTTCTCGACATCCTCGTGCCCAGATTCAAATCGTCTCACACTACGAGCGACTGGCCTGCAAAGCAAGGAGTGAGCGGCACATTCCTAATGTCAAGACGCAGCTTCCTGACGTGCGGCGTCGGTCTCTGCTTCGAGAGCGCCGTCTCGCGGCGATCCAGGACAAGGGGCTTGCGCCAGAAGCACCAGAGTTGCCAGAGTCATCCGATTCTGACGATTCTGACCATTCGGGCGGCTCTGAGGGTATGTTCACCACCAAATCGTTCCGACTATTGCTGACCTTACTAGCTGGCCAACGGGCCTCCCGAGTCGTTGTCTATCCCGCCGACACGTTTCAGCGAAGAACATGCCGTCGAAGTCCCCGAGAACCCTCCCCCAACACAACACCCGCAGACCGAACGGATGAGGACTGTGGAGCCCATAGAGCGCTTGCCGCCACGCCAGGGTTCTCTCCATCTCCAGACTCCAGCGCGAACGGCCATCCCGCCCGAGGAGGCGTCCATCGCGGCGGCTGCGCCTGCTGCGAGGCCTGCGAAGCGGAAGGCTGCGTCTTCTGTGAGGCCTGCGAGGCCCCCGAAGCGAGCTTACAAGAAGAAGTACACCGCGACGAACAGGACTGTCGCAGCACGGCTGGTGGCTGGTCCGAACGCCGAGTCGCACGAGTCGCACGAGTCGCACGAGTCGAATGACTTGGGCGACTCGGGCGACTCAGGTGACTCGATGGGCTCCCCAGCCGATGTGCCTGAGAGCGAGGAGGGTAGTTGGCTTTCGTCTCTCGGTGCTGAAGTGCTACAAGCTGCCCAGTCTGCTGCTAGGGCTGCGGCTGAAGTGTCTACAAGCGTTGGAACGGGAGAAGCGCGGTATCCGGCATCGTCCTTCTCCGATAGCTCACCCCCCGTGACTGCTATGCCGGAACGGATGCGCTTCCAGTATACGGGAGGACAGCAGGTATCGGAACTGGGCAGAGATCAGATACCCAACCACCGTGACTTGATGGCGTTTTTCAATCCTGCCCAGCATGATTATATGGCGGTGTTGCTAGCAGACCCTCAATCCAATTTTTTTTTATTTTAGTTTTTTGAGACAGGATCCCTGCATCCCTTGTGACTTGCATGCAATGAATTGTGATACTTGAAACTTTAGTGTGATATGTCCTCTAAGTTTGTGTATCGTCGCAAGACATAGCAACAGCCAGCTCCGTGAAGGTTAATAACTTCCAACTAATGAGAAAGTCACTAGTAAGATGAGACAGCATGATTACAGCGGCAGAGTTCATCGAGTAACAACATGTAACTGAGCATGTATTACTAGCGAGCTGCAACTCCAATACTCCTCCTCCTTCTCCTCAGCCTCTTGCGCAGCCCTCGCGCTCCGTATAGCCCTGTCAGCCTATCGGGGCGACGCTGGGCCCCGGCGATTTCGTCGCCCGACTCGTTGCTGTCTGGACACTTGGGCTGGGCGTCAAACCCTATGCCGGCCATAGCATTGAGCTTGAGGGCTGCTGCGCGGCTCTTTGGCGGCATCAGTGTCGATGGCGGCCTTGGCACACATCTCCCTCGTCAGCTCCCTGACGACCTCAGGGTCCATGACTGACCTCTTGGCAATCACGATCGTCTCCCAAGTGGCTTCGAGTAGTGACGCTTCGCCTGGACCTCCGCGTCGGCCCTGGTCGTAGTCTATGGACTTCGGCCTCAGCGTCGGCCTGTTGAAGTTTAGATCTGGCCTCTGTGTCTGCCTGCTCTAGCCTTGTCCGGCCCTCGGCGCCGGCCCGTTGGAACCTCGCCTTATCCTTGACGTTGTCAGCGTTAAGGGTTTGTGCTCATGGCCTTCTATGCCCGTTCTTGGGCAGCCCGCTCGGCGTGCCTGGAACGCAGCGCCTTGATCTCGGCGTTGAGAACAGCCTTTTCAGACTGGAACTCTCGCCTGAGCACGCTCTCCTCGCCGTTCAGATATTCTCTCATCTCTCGACGGGGAGCAGTCTTCTCGACTCCGATCACGCCTTCGGCCGCCCGTTGGGCTGACCTGATCAAGGTTGAGACTTCTCCGGCAAGGTCTGCCGTCACACCGAAGTGTATCCGCTCTGGGCTATGCCTGATGACAGAGTCATGGACGGCCCGGAGTAGGGGCTGGATCTGGAGGAGCCTCTCGACGAAGACCCCCAAAAAGTTTTTAGGCTCTGTAGAATCCATTTTGAATGTCGTGAGATGGCTAAAGAAGGGAGAGAAGATCAAAGGACTCAGGGCTGAGGATTTTTCATACATCATACGTTTCCCCGCTCACGCCAGAGCAGGGACGATCTAGGGGCTTCCTTCCATGTCCAGCGCACGATACTCCATCAACGATGATGTTCGTACCTACGAAGGTCAGTGTATTGCTCAAGCAAGTGCTCGACATGGTGCCTACCTTAGGTAGGTACCTCAGCATGTGTTGGTAGGCGGGCACTGGCTGCCTCAAGCGACTGCCTTGATGTTTATGATGACCCCATTCCATGTCTAGAGCCAGTAACAGCATAGCAATATCAGCAACATGAAACGTAAGGTAGGTAGCGGAAGGGGCACTAGTAATGGCTGCCGTGACTGTCAACCGTGACTGCCAATCGTGACTGCCTCTTATTCCCGAGAACATCCACGGAGAGGAGTAGGGACGCAACAATGAGCTGTTTGACGGCTTTACCACAGTCTTCTCGGCCAAGTCGGAACTTTGGCGCCGTGCGCCTATGGTCGTGGTCTTTGGTGACCGAATCGAGGCCGACGAGCCACCCCGCGCGTCGTTCAGCCAGGTGACGCCTTGGGCCTCTGGCAGTTACGAGCTGGCGATGCCGTCCATGGGCGCGAGTAATACGTCGGTCGTCACCCTCCAGCTTCTGGCATAGCTCACCGACGAGAGCCCCGAGGCAGCCATCCTCGAGCATGCGTGGGTGCTGTGGTCGCTGCTGCGTCAGGGCCGGGACTTGGAAACGGGCCTCGCCGGTGTCATTGCTGAGCAGCTCGTGACACCTGGCGACCGGGGCCAGCCTCTCGTGCTGGGGATCTGGCTGCTGTTGGTCAAGTTTGCGCGGTGGCCGTGCCTCGCACGCTACATGCAGCAGTTCCTCGACGTGCTGGCACCGAATGAGGCGCTGCTCTGGGTCCTCAACGCAGTGCGTTCCGGGCCCGAGACGCTGCGAGACGCGTGCCGAGACGTCGAGGCGGTCCTGTACCTCGAGGAGACGCCCGAGAGGAAAGAGATGGCGCTCGTGTCGCATCCTACCTGGCCCATGGTGTTGCACGTGTCGTTTGCCGGTGGTTGGATGCGGTACGTGGCAGACGTCAGGTTTGGTCTCGCGTCGCTGACGCTGCGCGCCTCGGCAGATGGCACAGGGTTGCAGAAGATCGACTTGGAGTGGGCCGATCTGGTGACTCCGTACCTCTGGTGGGACAACAATGTGGGCAAGGGGGAGTAATTCTGGCATGAATACATTTATTTCCCTCGACTCTGATGACCGCTGTGACGTGACACGATTCTATTGATCCCCACGAGGCCGACGCTCGGAGAGCCACTCGAGAAACACGCGTTCGGATTCACAAGGCTTATTGATACGGAGGAATCGGTTCATTAGCATATGGGTATGGAGCTCGCGCGGGAACTTGACTGCTCTCGTTCTCTTGTGACCAGCCTGCATCACCTCGCACAGCGCTGCCGTACTGTCCCGAAGCACTTCGTCGTCCCCGTACACGACGAGTATGTCCTCGACCGGCAAGTCCGCCCACCACTCTGCCGGTGTCGTGAGGAGGCTGTTCCAGCAGTCGGGCGCCGAATCGCCCATGTAATTCTTCGTCCAGTACTCGAGGGCGGCAGGGCTTAGGATATCCTTGTCCGTGTTTTCTGCCATCGATCTCTCGGCGCTTCCGTTTACGACCCACGGCGATATGAGGGCGGCGCCGGCGAGGCGTTCCTGAATCGGTCGAGGCGATACGAGGGGGTTCGGATGTGCGAGGTGCAACAGCAGACTCAGCACGAGGTGTCCGCCGGCAGAGTCTCCGATCAATGTAATGGCCGAGGGCTGCACGGATTGCGAGTCAAGCAGATAGTCGATGAGCGCAACAGCCTGCCGCAGCTGACGCGGGTAGTGATTGCCGGTCTCCGAGGCGAGGGCTGCCATGGCATGTCATTAGCGATGGGCTTCGCCCAGCAAGTACAAAGGCTCACCGTATGGGAGAATAAAGACAGACGTGTCGCCTGGGAGAGAATCGCCAAACCCCCATGCGACCTTGACCTGTTCGGGGAGCGCAGGTCCCATGTATCCGCCGCCGTGAAAGATCACAATGACCTTTTCCGTCTTTGCGCGACCCAGCCGTATAGCCATAGTTCCATCGCCAAGTCGGATCTCGGTGTGCGGGATGCCCAGCGTCTTCGCTACGCTGCCACACGTCTTCGTCGTGGACGGCAGCAGGTTCTGAATGGCCACGGCATCGAGGTTGGACTGGTAATCGAGCATGCCTTGGTATGCAACGTACTCGTACAATGAGTCGAAGCGCCGCGTGCGCCTGCCGATGGCTGCGCGTGCGACCTTCAGGAGGAGCGCGAATGCTGTGTCGACGCGTCAATGGTTTCGGCACGGTCTGGCGCAGAGGGGTGTTGACGTACTGATGCGAGTTGCTCGTGTCAGGAGAGCGATCCAACCCCAGGCGCCCAGCGATTGAAGGTATTCACTCGCTATTAGCGGACGAGCTTTCGACCTCATAGTAGGTGGCTGTCCTCTAATGAGGATATTAATAGGAGGCTAAAGTTCACCTAAGTATGAGGTACAAAGCGGACGAGCATAGCGGCTTGCAATAGACTACCTAGGTAAGACCCACCACCCCCCAACCGCCCACCCCCCCAACCGCCTACCTAAATTAACGAGAAACGAGCAGCATAAAACAATAGATAAGTTCAATTACTCGCTATAATAGGCTTAAATTAATAAGAATTCTAAGCACTATAACTCGAATTTAGCTTCCTAATCCTTTAAAGCCGTTATAGAAAGTATTACGATTTATTTTACTCGAGTTTAAGCCGCTTAAATAGCCTTAATATTAATAAACCGCTTATTCGGATTTAATATTACTTTAAGCTTCTTATAGGGCTTATATATTTCTAATTAAGTATTTAATAAAGCGATTTAAATATTTACTTTTACTAATTCGATATCCTTTAAGTCGATATACTTCCCTACCTTTAAGAATAGGCGATATATAGCCTATACTACTAACCTAAGCGTTATACGCCTACGAGATAGTGAAAAATAGCCTTTCCGGAGATCGCTTAAGCTCCTTAGCATTATTATAGTAAAATTAGTATAATTATAAGCCTTCTAAAGTATTTTCGGGGTCTTTAGATAGCCCTTATCTATTATTTAAGAGCTTAAAAATAGCTATTATAGACTTATAGGCTATAGGCCTATTATATATTACCTATTACGTATATTACTATTTATAATAATATTACTTCGAGCCTTTTAATAATAATAGAGGAAATTACGTTTATTAATTAATAAACTATCGAGTAAGTAAACTATAGCTTAAGATACCTATAATAGGCCGCCTTTAAGGGGCCGAATATCGAGAGGTTAAGAGGCTATATAATATAGCTAGAATAAATAAGAAGTAGAAGAAGGAAGATATCCGCTTAATAATAGATCTATAGAAACTTATCTAAAACGTAGCTCTTATAGCTATCTATTATAAAGAAGCGAGGAGATTATAATTTATTAGCCTTTATTTACGTAAATAGAATAAAGATATTCCTAAGCTATTATTACGACCTAGTAGCTTCCGAAAGGGGGAATACTATTAGAGGGTTAGGGTTACTATTTATAGAAGCTTAGGTTATAACTCTAAGACGATATAGTATCGTAAAGCATTATGTACTTATTATAATAAATATAAAGTAAGACTTAGATTAATTACTATTATAAGAAAGAATATATCTATAAGTATAGAATGCCCGTCCTTATATACCTATCTATCCTATCCTTATTATTAAATAGTAAGCTTATATTAGATAGTTTACTATTATATTATAATCCTATTATATTAGATTATAGATTATTATAATCTTAATATATTAATAATCTATTATTCGAGGATTACTATATTTAGTAATCCTATTATATAGCTAGTTCCTTAATAGTCCTTATTTTATTATCGTTCTTAATTATCCTAATATAGGGCTACCTATAGCTTATCGTTCGACCTTTAATTATTATATAATGCTCTGTAACAACCAAGGAAGCAGGGCGGCCGCGAATCGACGACCCCGCGATCAGGGAGCGCGATAAGATAAGAATCGGGCCCACCTGGCAAATCACGTGATGGCTCACTCAGACATAAAGGGTGAGTCGTCGGGCTCACCAAGGACGCCGCAGTGAGCCAGGGAATGGCTCACGGGATAACACACCGTGATCCTAACATCATGGATCACCAACAACTAACCAGTGAGCCATCCAACATGAGCTCACCACCTAACACAACAAGGACAGGATGGCAGGTATATAAGGACGGACATTCTGGACTTGTAGATACATTCTTTCTCACGACAGTGATCAATCTAAGTCTTACCTTGTATTCATTGTAACGAGTGCGCAACGCCTTACGACACCACATCGTCTCAGAGTCACAACCTAAGCTTCTGCAAACAGCAACCCCAACCCTCTGACAGTGTTCCCCCTTCGGAAGCTGCCAGGTCGTAACATTTTGATCACTCTTGTTCAGTAGGTTTACCTTGTGACACTGAGCAATACTCACCACAGGAACAATGTCCACCAACAGCGTCGGAAACAGCGCCAGCAACCTGGCCGCTATGATCCAAGAGCTCCGCTCAGAGAACGAGCAGCTACGAGCCTCGATGCAGCAACTTCAAGGCGGAACGAGCATGAAGGCTCTTCCCCCTCAGTCATTCGACGGCAACCCTAGGGCACTTCAATCTTTCATCACCCAGGTACGCCAGTACCACAAAGCCAATGAGGGCCAACTCAAGTACTGGGGCGAGAAGGTCGCCAACGCCTCCTCTTACCTCAAAGGGGACGCCTTGCACTGGTTCGAACCCTTCATTAGGGACTATTCCACCCACACCAAGAAAGAAGATATGAAGCAGGCCACCCAGGACATCTACGCCGGTATGAACGCATTCGAAGAAGCCATTAAAGGAGCGTTTGGGGACGTGGACGAGGAACGACAAAACGAAAGAAAAATCCTTCAGCTCAAACAGACGGGGCCAGCCACTAAATACGCCACGGAGTTTCGACTCTTAGCCAGTCGACTCGATTGGACAGAGTCCGCTCTCATGGCCCGTTTCTACGAAGGACTCAAAGACGCCGTCAAGGACGACCTCATCCGGGAGGATAGACCCGAAACCCTCACCGAGTACATCGCCATGGCCGTCAAAATCGACGATCGCCAGTACGAACGCAGAATAGAAAAGGGACGAAAGCCCGCTATAGGACCATGGAACCCTCGCATTCCCCACCACCGATCCAATCAAGGACGCAAGTACCAGCACGACAAACCCCGCGTCAGCACGGCTTGGGGACAGACCACCCATGCAGGACCCATGGAGCTCGACAATACCAGACATGGCAAACCGAAGGATCTCAAGGACATGAAATGCTACAACTGCGGCAAAAACGGGCATATGGCTCGAGAATGCCGGCAACCTAAGAAACCCTGGAAACCCGTAAACGAACGACAGCTCAACCATACTCAACACCAGGACCATGCCAAAACTAACTGGACCTTCTGTTACCAGGACGATTGCCTGACCCACAAAGACAGTAAGGAACAGAATGGATGGTTCCCCAGGGCACCTACGGGACAAAGAACCCTGGCCATAATGGTCACCACCAGGAAGGAAAGACGAATTCAGAAATGGGCCCAGCAAGTAACGCCGGAGACCCAGGAAATCGATACAGACGAAGAAAGAGCCTACGAACATGCTCACCCAGAACCACAATCAGCTCCCCACGTAGGACTGATGAACGACACAGAATGGGATGAATACACACGAGCCAGCGAAGAAGAATCTCCGCTCGGACAGACCCAACCCCACATGCCTATGCAGGCATACGAAGTTAGCAGCGCCAGCGAGGACTATGACCCCCTGGTACCATGGAACGAACTCATCTACTACGGGACCAAACCATGGAAGGCCAGCACCCGAAAGCGAGAAAGCACCAAAGAAAACGTACGACTCATGGTAGGAGACCACCCGGCACTTCACCACGCCCACGAACAACACTACCAGTTGTTCTGGCCCGAATGCGTCTACGACGACTGTGAATACCACTTCAAGGAGAAGGCCGCACACCGGTTTCTCCCGCGCAATCACTGGATCGAGCCACGAGTGAAGGTAGAGTTCGGACAGGAGAGTCGCAAATGGATCCTACACATGGACGAATACAGTCAGGGTCGGCTCACGTTCCGA